TCGCCCCAGATTTTTACCGATCCTCTTCTTGCGTATTAATGCGACAAGCACCAATCGTAAATCAATCCCATTTTCAGGCAGTCAATTTATCTTTCAGTTTTCCGACATGACATATTCTTATTTGCTAAGACGAATCAACAGATAGGATAAAACCACTAGATGTGAATCAGACACTAATTCCGGATCACTTTTTATATTTACATAATTATAGTATTTTTTATTGAATGTACATATTATAAGATTCTTTAGCATTTGTTTTATCTCTTTCAAGTGTCAATTGAATTTAATTTATTAGAAATAGCGCTACATATTTTATTGATGTCATTAAGTGTGCCTTCCAACAAGCGACATAGTGCGACACAGTGATCATGTCATCTTTTATTTAATATTAGCAAACAACAAAGATGTAATGATCCATTGTGTCACATCGTGTCATTTGTGTCGCTTGTTGGAAGGCACACTTAATGACATCAATTAATTAAATTTGTGAGGTTAACTAACAAGAGAGTATATATATTTTAAAAATTCATTCATAGTGTAATATCATAAGAATTGCCTTATGGCTTTTATAGTAGGTAGTTAATAGCATTAAGATGAAATCACACGATGATCGATTTCTTGAATGATAAGCATGCATGCATGCTGCTATGCTTGCTTTGAAGCATATAATCTGACATTTAACAAATAACTATTAAATTAGCAATTATTTCTTTTGATTGATGCATGCAAGGAAATAAGCTGTAAATTAATCCGTAATAATAAATATAAAAATCATGTATATGCAGCATGTAGTGCTCAATGCATGAACAAATTCTAGTATACTTCTAATATATTCAGAGCAGGCATGACTGCACATATTATCATTTAAGAAATCGAGCATCATGTGATTTCATTCTTTAGATTTCTATCTTTATAGAAAAGAATCAATGTTATGCTCAATTGAGATTAAATGTGTCCGCGGGTTGTTTAATCACTATATTATAACGATACTTTTATTGCGTAAATTTATTATAAAAATGTTTAAAAACTTGTCAAATCTTACAAATGATGTCACTTCAAAAAGATTTATTTGTTTTAAGTATCAAAGATTATAAAATAGTATACATGTCTATATGTAAAAAGTGTTACTATTCATAATTTATTTTTTATTGCTAAACGTTCAATTTTCATCAACTTTTAAAATTATCATTGATTTTTAATTGTCATTAATTTTAAATAAACTTGAATATGTTATAAAATTGTATTATTATTTACAATTAGACCCTAGAATTAAATATGGATCGTCAATTATAATTTCGTTATACTAAGATATACATGCGCAAATCATTTTTATCATTCTTATGGAATGTGTAGTAACGCTATCAAAAAGGCTAAAACATTTGATGAATTGATCCGCAATTAGTACATGGGGTTTAATTGTGGATAATTGTCTTTATTTTATTTAATTCAAATTAAAATGATAATGAAATAAAATAAAATCATCCATAATATAATCTTTATGATCAATCGTGACTATTAAATATTTTATTAATTGTTTGATATTGTTTCGGATAAAAAAAATATGAATTTTTTTTTAAAAGTGATCCATTACTAGTGGTTTTACTCTAATATATATGAAATTAATAATTTGAATTTCATGTTTCTATCGTGTAAAATATTAACGACTACTTGTAAAATGGGAGATCGATGACGCATGCATCATAGAAATTCATTAAAAATTTAAAATCTACAGTTATGCTTATTTATTAAATTCCCCAAAAGCCTAGACTTATTCATTTTGATTTATACTTAATATCAATTATTATCAATTCATGATATTTGCCGTCGATAGTGCATATTGCAAATATCAAGAATTAAAGAGTAGATCAATAAAGGATTAGCTATAGCATTGGAGGATTAAAACTAAATTTGTATTTCGCGATATCGAGTCGTATTCTACTATCGACGATTTGTTTATAAATTTTCGATTAATTTGCAAGCGTGATTTTCTTTATAAATCTTATATCGAATGCTAAAATTGTTGTGTGAATTATATTAATATTATCGTATAAAAAATATTAAACTGAACATATCTATTTCTATTTTTGAATCTTAAATAAAAATTCTTTTACATGTACTTTTAAATGAAATTTATAATTTTATTAAGTTTAAAAAAGTAACAATATGCAAATAATTACTGATCGTTTTTCTTACTTCAAAATTATTGATGTCTTGATATTCCAATCGAGGAAAAATTCATATTGAATTTCTTAAATTTAAATAGTCTTATAGATGATGTTTTACGAGACACTCCGTATAGAGTTTTGCTCTTGATAGAATAGCGTTTCGAATGAATCAGTTATACTCGAGGGCCATTGATTATTCATTATTCATAAATTTAAATCGTGTAATCCCGACCTCGGTTTGCAATCGCGAAGATTAGGTTCAAGGGTACGTTGCGTAAATATGGGTGGTAAAAGAGTTCGGAGCGATAGAGATGAACTCGATTGACTGCACTGCGGACTGCATATATGTATAATAATTATACGTACGAAACATAAAATACTTATATTGATGAAATTCTAACGAAAGATTATGTTTATCGATTATTATTCAACAATCGAGCGTGATAATAGGTACTGTTGGTATATTGATTACTATTTTTTTTTATATTACATAAGTTGTAATATAAAAGTTATATGGATCTCAAAATGTTTTAAAAAAATATGTCGAAACATTAAATACAATATTATATTATGAATTTTATTGGATATTTAAATTAACTATAGATATATTTTTCAACATTTAGAGAATTGTGTGTTTATTTGAAATTTATTTTAAAGGATAAATTCGCATTTTCAGCAAATTTGGCAGTGCGTAGGGATTGATTTGCCTTTGCTATTAACGACGTAATAGTTCTGAAGCAAGGGCTTGTACTGTGAGGATTCTCGTTGCAGTCACAAAATGCACCGACCCGAAACGCTACGGCACGAAAGCAATCCACGGAATTTAATTAAACCTCGTGTTTTTTTTCAACCACGAACTCGCATCCGTCTGCGTGCCGACTAAAGTGGATATATATATACCACGAAGATTTCTGGCTTCAAAGGCTAGATGAACTTAGCTCCAGAAAACGGGAACTTTAAACGGAATAAACCTAATAATGGACCTCACTTAATTAAACCTTGCTTCTTAATTACGCATTCTTGATGAGTGAGAATTAAAAGTATTGCTATATAGAGAAATTATCACAAAGAAATTTATTCTTATCACATTTTAATATTACGAATTCTATTTAGTAATGACATGAATTGTACATTAATTTAATAAATATAAGAATAAAAATGCAGTAATATATAACAATAAAATATTTTGTATTAATTATGTACATATAACATCAACTATTAATAATTTCGCTGTCATTGTTTACTACAATTAAATCTTGGTAATTATGTTCAGTATTATAATTCATCTACAAATATTTATTGCAATTGAATAAATAATTAATTATCAATTGAAATTATAGAATTACTTAATTCAAAAATATCTATTTTAACATATTTTTTACGTTTTATTAATTTATTTATTTTCAAAGAATGCTGTGAGACTTTTTAACATTCTTCAATTGCGTAAGTCATAGTTATAAGTCATTATAGTCCATAAGAATTGATCAATTACATTCGAATATTTTTTTCATATTCTATGATTCTTACGATCAATTCTTACAATTATAATCACTTACAACTATAGCTTACGCAATTACAATAGAATAGACTTTAGATGATATAAAATATTAAATATGTATTTATGACTTGCGTTTTTTTTTCCTACGTAACCGCTTGAATAAATTTCCATGGAAACTGTTGCGATAGTTTACAAGATTCAGTTATTGTTCCATGGAAATAAGCAAATTGATGAAATTTATTTTTGTAAGGGTTTTTTTCATGATGTCACTCTTTTCTGAATACACGAAATCATCAGATCATTTTTCTACGATCAAACAGAAGAGAAATATTATTTTTTATTTTTATTAATATTATTAGAATATTTTTAAATAATATTATAATTTAAATTAAATGTTAATTACATTGATTGATGTTGACATTGTTAATTTTATCTTACAAAAATGATTATTTAATGACAAAGATTTAATGTATATAGTTTTCAAAAAGGGTAATGTTAAATTACATTCTGATTATAATTATGTTAAATATTTAGGTGTCTATTTTTTAATTCTGCTAATTTTTATTATATGATTTGATCTTTTTTCTTTTTTTTAAGAAAATTATGAAATAAACTGAGCGACAGAAAACCGATTTTGATTTCCGCTAATCATACCTCCTTGAAGTTAAATAAAATGCAAATCATGGTCTTCAAGAGTCAGCTAATTTTAATCTTTTATTCTTCCTTCTTCTCAGATTTCTTCGTTGAATTAAGATAAGATAAACCTATGTGGATTCTTTATGACTGATACATCGTTATATGACTAATGACAATGAATATCGCTTTTCGTGTTTCAAATATTATTAAGGCTTATTTGATTTTATTTTTTATATTATTTGGATATAATAGAGCTTATTAAAATTATTCTTTTCTTCCAACTTTATTAATAATAATAAGTGTAATATATGTGAATAAGATTGCTATATATAACAGACTTTTATTACAAGATCATTCTCATCACATTTTAACATTACAAATTTTTTCCATATTTTGATTTTCCTACATACGTATATAGATTTCTATATCATGATATATTTAATTAATATTTATATTTATGACGCATAAATATAGTTAATCAAATTGAGCAAATTTTCAAAGCACTTATGTTTTCTTCGTAGATACACAAACGCACACACGCACAAATCATAATTATTTCAGAATTTATGGAACGCGTGTTACCTATGTTATGAATCGCAGTGTTAACCAAAATTACCGCGATATATCTTTATTAAGGAGAGTTTTGGACGACTCTCTGCATAAGTCTAGTGATCTTGCGATATAATTAGACGATAAATTCAGTTGTAGTGTTGTATGGTCCTTATAGATTTCATGGGACGCATTTACCCCAATCGCCGATGTAAACTACAGCAAACAAATAAAATATTTCCATTTGCTTCTATTTTATAGTACAATACTTACAGTACAGTACTTACTTTCAGTGGCTCTCAAAGTGGCTCCGTTTACGTACTAACATTTTTATATGTCTCATCGGTGTGTGTTCCACTTAATCCGTTACCTCGAAACAATTTTTAATTAAACCAGTTGTTTCAATAAAACTATAAAACTATGTTTCAACATCATAATTATCATGTCTGATTTAGCAAAAAATTATTTTCTCAATGTTTTTGTGAACGTGAGTGTCCCTGTATGCGATAAATTAACATAACGATTGCTAGAGACGCATATATTCTCTTAAAACACAGCAAAATAAATATGGAAAAAACTATTTTGCTTTTCTCTTTCTCTCTCGACTATATTTTAGTTGCGTAATGACGATAATATGTACGATAATATATACATGAATGTAAAGTGGAATATTTAGATCTAGATCGATCTTTTTCTTCGTAATGATGTCTTTAATTAGTTTGTAAAGAATAAGACTTTTAGGAAAGACAAAAACTATCCAGAACATCGCTATGATGACCGTAAAAATGGCGAGTGTACGGAACGTTTTTATTGATTATATACGTTCTTAATAATTCACAAATGTACATAGAAACACAAAAAGACTTTGTGTATATCCTTCATGCAATAATTTACGATCGTAATTATGTAACGAACATAAAGCAAAGGAAAACGTTAAGCAAGGAATGTGAATGGTTAGTCGATCGATGAGTAAGATAATTCTTTAGATGCATTTAACGTGTTTAAAGATAAAATCGTATATGCAGAAAAACTTGGAACAAAACAAGAATATTTTATACATAAGATGAAAGGAATAAAATTTTCTGTATCATTTATTAAATTTATTTGATTACAACGATACAAGATAAAAAATGAAATTTTCCAGAAAATGTGTTTGTATGTCTTGAATAAAAATTTTGGGATTGTTAATTTTGAAATGCAATTGTAAGATGTAATAAATAGATGATTGTAGAGGAATAAAAACATTTTTTAAGGTGTTTTTTTCCTTTTTTTTTTTTAGGTTCCTGTTAATTTTTGAGTTCAAAAAATTACAATTTTTTTAGTTGCATCATGTCACTGTTGTAGCAAATGAATGATACATAAAATGAATAAGGCAAAATTGCATGTCATTGCAATTAGGCGTCGCGCTTAAAAAGACGAAACAATTTTCATCCTGAGAACGAAATTCGCATAATCGAGTTATTCAATTTTCAGCTCTTTTATTTTTCCTATTTCTCTGCTTTCCCGTCCATTTACTTCCGCTTCCCTTCTCGAGGGATCGATCGAAGGACTCGTGCCAACGACAGGATGCAGAGGGAGCCGGCGGTATCCGTTATTCGCGATCGTTACGATTTTAATTACAATAAAGCCGATTTTAATAATACGACAGGATTCGTGGAACGCAATAAGAGCGCCTCTTTATGCTTCTATTAGACACGTACCCCCACGGCTATTTTCTCGCCCTGGGTATATTACATCCCCTCCGTTGGGATGTAACGCGTGGGATGATACGTTTCGCGGCACGCCGTGATTCATCGTCAGTGACGATGCAAATGTTTGAGCAATCCGTTATCTCGAGAGACCACCGGTCCACTACCTCCTTTTTACGCGAGACTCGCCTTTTTATCTCGTCCTCCTCACTTTTTTTCCATCCACACTTCTTCTTTTATTCGCCGCAAATTCGTGACCGACGAGAGCTCGCGGGAATCGTAAATCATGGATATTGGACGGTGTCGATTCTTCTGCCTCTCGCTGGGATCGCCATTAAAGGGATACTTGATATACGCCATCCAGCTATATCCGCGAGGGAGAAGGTTGGATCGTTTTCACACCTCATTATCACCGACTTTGTGCACGTGCGCTTTGGTATGTCGCGTTGTGATAACCGACAAGCGTTGGATGATGACTTTTTGTGGCTGTAGCTGTTCAAGTGTCCGAGACTTTCATGAGATAAGTTTGAAATGAAATTTCGCGATGCCATTAAAATTTTTTAACGAAAAAAAGAGGAAAAGGAGATGAGACATTATAAATGAATTTCGGAATTTAAATAGAAAAAAAATTATGATAAAAAATTTAATCTAAAAATTGTAATAAAAACTTGACAAAAGAAGAACAATTGTTTTTTTTGTTAGTTTCATTTTCTTAGTTTCATTTTCTGTTAGTTAATTTATGAAATGAATAATTACACACACAAATTGTTGCTTGTAATAAATACGAGTTGAATCCTTCATTCTTATCTAAAAATGAAATGCTTTGTAAATCATTGAAAAGGTTCAGTATCAAAGAGTAAATATGTTTGCAATTAAAACTATACTCAGCAGTGACGGAATCATATGCGCAATAAAGTGGTTATCCCGAAGAAATCTAAAACTCGTCGAGATCATCATTATTAATATGTAATTGACAAAGAACAGTCTTTGTAGTTTATGCGTATGTAATATACCTTATATAGTACCACTTATGGGTGGAGCTCGATGTGGAATGTTTTATTGTTCACACACAACTGCGCAACGTGCGAAACATTTTTACAATTCAGAATATTTCGCAATATGCATAATTTGTTCATTCGTTCGTGTGACAGTCATCGATGCAGTCATCTGACATGTATTTAGATCGTACAATCGCTATTCTTCTTGATGAATAATATGGAGTGTTCCAGAAAGTGAATGCATTAAATTTAAATTTGAAATCAGTTAATGAAATTTTATGTCGAAGTAATACAATTTTTTATTATAAATTGAAAATTAAGAGTTTCTTGCAAATTAAGCTCGAATGTCACGAATAAGGCGAAGATGTTCGTTCAATTTTTTAATAGATTTTTAGACGTTTATTTGTTAAAATATAAAAAATATCAAGATTTGAAAATTGTAAAAAATTGTACGAAAAGCATTCTCTTTCTTCGTGAAAGCTGTGTAGAAATTTCACATTTCCAAAATAATTCAATCAATAACGATACTGATGTACCTAATAAAACGATAATTTCAAATATTTTGAATCTCTTGATTATAATTCAAATTTATAAATATCGTTCTTAGATATTATTTTTGCAATTTAAAATGTTTTGTTTTGATTGAATATACTCCAAAATATAAAAATGTTCGAACAATTGAATGAAAATAAAGATTATTAATATCGCTCACAGATACACTTTAATAATTATTTTGCCTTATCTAGAGAAAAAATATTTTACAGCATAAAAAGTATTTGAATAATTGGATAGTAAAATATCTTTGAAAGATTTTTTATTTATTTAATTATTATAATTATTTATTATAAAAATGTTTAATAGTGTCATAATTAACAATTTATTGCTTGTAACAATTATAGTACAATTTTTCAAAACTGTTTTGTAAAAAAAAAGGGATTTTATATTCACGAGAAACTTTTATATTGAGCGGATAGAAATTTTCTCTGAGAAGCACGCTGTCAGCGTTATACTGCGATAGATGTAATTCTGTCGAGACTGCTTGTAAAAAATCCCTTTTTCGTAGATATTCAATACCGATAATCGATTATTTGTCATTTATCATTGCTTACAAATTTGTTCTTCTTCACTCTAAATTTGTTCTTTTCAAACTGTTATAGAAGAAGAGGAAATATTTGATCATCCGATGTTCATGAAAAAAATTTATATATATAAATTTATATATATAAATTACTTGTTATATTTAATTTCTTAAATATTAAAATAATTTTTCCTAATATTATTATACAAAAGGGTTATGTAAAAGATATATATAAATTTTTAAATTTGCGAAGGATTACTTTCCAGTGTAATACCAGGGTAGATGGAATCTCACTCCAAAAAAGGGATTGAGATTTCACTCTTTCGGAGTGAATCTCATTCCAAAAGAGTAAATCTCACTTTTAAAAGAGTTAAAATCTGTCATTCTTGAACAAAAGTGGCCGTATTCTCACTTTTTTTTTCAAGACAAGCTAAATTTTTAGTAACTTGGAGTGAGATTTCATTCCATGAAATTTAGATAGTTTACAACTATTAAGTCGTACTATTACGCAAAGAAAATTGGGGCGTATCTTGATAATCTGAATTTTTTATCGTGACATCGTTTGACAAAAAAAATCAGTATACCAAGTATTTCATTGAGTAAGCATATCGAAATTATTCAACAAAAGTGACGCTCTTTGATAAATATCTATCTCAATGTATAATAATGTAGTATCGTCTTTCATCGTGAAACGAAGCCCTAGACTGATGATGTTTTATCATTTATTCCTATTGTTAATTGTTATATCTATCTGTTACGCAATTAAATTGCAAATCAAATACGTCATCGATTGACAGTGCTGAATTTTTCGTTTCAAACTTGGCACGAATACAATATTGTTCAAAGTATAGTATTTTATAATTAAATATATACATTTATGCTTATATATGTATACTGATGTATAAAGAGAAATTCAGTACTATCTCACCGACTTTAATCTTCGATGTTATAAATATTGAAGAAGCTATCTCACATTAATTCTCGCGTTTCTATTATCACGAGAAACAATGCAGAGATCATTATTCGTAGCTTCGAAATTTGAATTTACCGAAGTTATACCGTGTTATAAATTTCCGGGGCTTCGGGCGTCGTATTGTGAAACACTGTGAACATTAGAGACCTCGAATAATTTCGTCGCCTAGGGGCTCTCGAGGGCAACGAGACGCGTCTACGAGGGACTGACTGAGGAGAAGTATCGGGCGAAACGATGTATCGGACGTCTCTCGTCGTTTATCTACTTCCCGTGCAGAGCTTCACGTCTCGACACGTAGCCGTAGCCACTCGGAATCTGTCCGACAGATCCGTGACTCCCGCGGAACTTTCTTAACGACCGACCAGTCGTTATCGGACCCACCGCCGCCGATCCCCTCAAGCGATCGTTTTGCATCGCAATTTCATCCAACGGAGCGAGATCAAACGTGCAGCCTCGCGGAGTTTTGTCAAATGAAGCGAGTCTTGGCTCGCAAATGTTCTCATCCTCGTTGAAACACTCAATTGGGAATTTTTTTCAACGGAATTTTCAATCGGCGTCATTGAGCGTACAAAGAGAGAGTTTGTTCAGTTTGTCTGGAACGAGCCGCCGGACAAGTTATAGCGAGTTATAATCAGTTAGAAAAGTGTTCTCTTTATAGAATTTTTATTACGCGAGAACATGATGTAATATTCATTTTCAAGCGTGTCGATTTTCTAATGCAATTTACTCTTTTCAATTGATTTTAATACAATATTTTACGTTTTTTGCATATACGAGATATTAAAGTTAAAAAAATATACAAAACTGTTAGAAAGTGAAATATTGACGAAAGACAGAACAATATTCTTTAAATACTAATTAAAATTTTTTAAAACAGAACTATTTATTTTAAATATACAGTATATATTACAGTTTCTAATAATTTGTGTTGAAATAGATCTATGTATTTTATTATTTAAGCTTTATTGCTAGAAAGTAAATAATAGTGAAGAGATTGGAAAATTTTAATATTAATTAATGAATTAATGTTAATTAATCGAGTTAATTAATTATTAAAGGGAATTATATTCTTGAATTCAAAATGTTTTTAACGTTTTAATAAAAAATGAAGTTTTGAATATAAGAAATTTTTATACAATTGAAAAGAAGAGTTCAGAACTAATTAAATATAAAATATGTAATCAATATAAAAAAATTAAGCAAATCAGAGATAAAAACAATTTTCTGTTTTGGTAATATATAAATATTATAAGTAACATAATTGAAAAACTTAATTGCATAAAATGCATAATCTCTTTTTATGTAAATTGATTCTTCTCATCATTTAAAAAATTTTAAAATAAAATGATTAAAAAGCGATGTATTTTATATATTATATTGAAATTTATTAGAACAAGTAGAGATTCGTATATAAAATATTCTATCTCAAGTTTCTTACATAATTATTTAAATTATATGAAAATCCTTCCCAAAAAAAAACAAAATGTATCTTATCACAAATAAGATGCAACAATGTAGCGATAATAGATAGGTATTTATATAGATTAATATATTTAATTAATTAACACTCCATTCCGAATTACCATTTCTGAGTGATCATCAATTTGTGCGATACCGTAAGTGAATGATGAACGAGAGCGTGTGCATTTGCGATTGACGCGCCCTAACGTGGCTTTCAATTAACAGCGGCGGCGCCGGGATGAAATTGAATTTTCCAGCCAAGCTCTTAGCGCAAACGAAAATTTACGTCAACGTAACACGAATCCAGCGTTACTCGGACTGAGGAGTTGTATGTGAACGATGTACCGGTTTTTCACTCCGTAACGAAAAATAGTGGGATTGCCGGATCTCGTGCGCGTCAGCACACCTTTTCCGAACAGGAACTTTCCGACGTGAAAATGCTGAAAGGTTGCCATCAAGTGGATAGCGTTTTTCACGTTATCGTTGCCTTTTTTACTCTCTCGGCATCTCTTTGTGACTCCTCCGAGATACGCAAGCAGAGTATTTCGTCTACTGAAAGTCTCCCTCAAAACTTTACAAAATGAGATTGATTTTACGAATGCAATCATTTTAAATGTGCAGACGTATTATATT